TGGGGAGCAGAGGCGCGCCGACCACACCGGCAGGGCCAGGGCGCCTGGCGGGCGCGGCTGGCCGGATGGGGCGGCTCTGAGGACGCGCCCCGGGTGGGCGGTGGAGAGCAGAGACTCCGCCTGCGGACCGGCGGCCCAGGTTCCGCCTGGGCAAGTGAGGGTCCCCGCGCCCCGAGGCCTGTGTGCCCCAGGAAGGGCGGAGTGTCCGCGGGTGGGCCCCAAACCTTCCACTGTGTGTTTGAGAGCAGCTTTTCTAAAGCCACGTGTTTAAAACAAATCAGGATTTTAGAAAATCTGAAAGGTGGTGATGGCCGTGCTTTGGTCAACACTCTGAGACACTTGGGTTTGTTGAGCGAAGGTAATGTGTGGGTTTATCATGAGACTCGGCCGGGAGCCCCGGCTGCCCCCGTGTTTGGGCACTCGGCCACCTCTACACACCCCTGGCACGAGGGTCCAGGACAGGATGTGCCCCCGGGGCTGCCTGGAGATGTGGCTGCCGGAGTCCTTCTTTCTGGGAGGATTCCGGGAGCCTCCATGCCAGGCCCCCCCCACCGGCTCCAGGAAACGTCCCACCAGGCAGGTCTCAGGAGCCAAAAGTGCTGCAAATCCCACGGGGGCCTCCCAGGCCTCCGGATGGGGCCGCCGCCCCGCGTCTCCAGACCCAAGCTCACCCCCCCAGGGCCCTCGGCCTCACTCGCCCGCTCCTGCCTCCTGCACAGCCAGGATCAGGGCCCTGTCCTGCAGGCCCAGGAGTGGAGCGGAGGCCCGGGGGCGGCCACGCCCAGGGTCACCACTCCCTTCCACATAGCCTGCAGCACCCAGTCCCAAGGTGCTCCCATGGGGCCAGCAGCAGGCAGGGGCTGGGGGCAGACAGACCAGTCCCTGTAGAAGCCACATCAGGTCAGGTGGTGAGCTGGGGGGGACACTGAGGCAGAGGACAGCAGGGCGAGGGGGGACATCCTGGCCAAGAGGGAGAACAGGCCCCCCGCTGGCCCCTGGAGCCCAAGCCAGAGCCTACTGCTGGTGGATGAGCCGAACCGTCCAGTGAGGTTCACACAAGGAAATGCCTGTGGGCCCGATGCCTGGGTGCGGGAGAGGCCACAACCAGGGCCCGGAGACCAGCCGGCAAGCCGCAACCCCGGGTGTGAGAGTTTTCAGTGCTGACACGGCACTTGGGAATGGTCTATTTTGCTTCAAGTAGAAGAGTCGGGGAATCGTCATGCAGAATTGGGCCTGGGCTTCACGGAGGAGGGACCCGGCTGGGAGACCCCGACATCCCAGTCTTTGGGGAGGCCCGCCAGGACGAAGGACGCGCCCTGGGAGGACACCTCGCCGCCTCCGGTCCCAGCCCCAGCCTTACTCCTCGCCGCCTTGGTCCTGCCCTCCAATTGTGGTTCGGGCCACTGGAGAATGACTCACCAAGAAGAATCCACACCCACACGTGGTGGGAGGAAAGCCCAGACCTGCCTGTGAGAGAGCTTTCCAGAAAGACCAGTGCCGTCACAGCACACAGCATCCTCTTCCTGACCTTCTGCCCTTGAAAACATCTGCTCTGATCTACTGAACCATCCCCAGTTGATATACAAGCAGGAAGGCAGCTTCCAGGCCGCCACCCCGTCCAGAGCTCCCATGACAGAGGGAACAGCGATTTGCACTCAGTTCTGACCCCGGGAGGAGAAGCAGTCAGAGCAGCTTAGAAGCAGACAGGACTGAACCTCACCCCAAGAGTCAGGGACCTCGGGGCCTCTATTTGCTGCTTTATTTTGGGCTCGGGGGTGTGTGTGCAAGCTTGCCACGTGGGCGCTTGCCTGACGGTGAGGCCGGGCTTCTGTTGGCCCGTCACCCAAGGGTGAGCATGGGGCCCATGGAGTCAGCGCCCCCACCCCCAGCGTTCCCAGTGCCTGTCCCTCCATCTTCACGTCTGCATGCGCCCAGCACTGAGCTCCCACGTCTCTTTTTTTGAGTTGGAGTCTCACTCCGTCGCCCAGACTGCAGTGGAGTGCAGTGGCCGCTCCCGGCCACCGCAGCCTTGACCAGCTGGGCTCCCGTGATCCTCCCGCCTCAGCCTTCCAAGTAGCTGGAACTACAGGCGTGCGCTACCACGCCCGACTAATTTTTGACTTATTGTAGGGATGAGGCCTCGCCAAGTTGCCCAGACGGGTCTGGAACCCACGGGCTCAGGCCATCCACTCACCTCAGTCTCCCAAGGCACTGGATGACAGGCTGAGCCACCGAGCCCGGCTTGAGTTCCCACTTCTAAGTGAGAACATGGTATTCTGTTTTCTGTTTCTGCGTTAATTCAGTCACAATGAGGGCTCCAGCTGGATCCACACTGCTGCCAAGGGCACACTTTCCTTCTCTCTCGTGGCTGCACAGGGCCCTGTGGTGTGCGTGGGCGACATCCTCCGTCCTCCGCCTCTGTGGACGGCCCTGGGTTGAGCGCCTCCTCTCCTGAGCAGGCTGGTCCCGAGTGCATCTCCTGTGACTCCTCTCTGCCCTGCGTTGCTGTGGATGGAAGCTGGGCTGGAGTGGGCCCGCCAGGGCCCCTCGCCGCCGTTGTCTCCCAGGACACGGAGCCGGCGACCAGCCCTGGCCACGGTGTCAGCTTGGTCAGGATCCCCAAGGGGTTCTAGGACGCCCCTATGCGGCCTTCCCTTCAGGGGATGACGAGGAAGCCGCCAAAAGATGTAGCTGCCCCGGGGGCCCGCTGCACACAAGGGGTGTCCTCGGGCAGGGCCGCACCTCTCCGCCTCAGTTTCCCGCCCTGCCGCAGAGGGTCCTCAGCTCCTGCTGGTGCTGATGGAGCCGCGCGTCTGCGTCCGAAATGTCAGCAGGAGGGAACGGAGCAGACTCAGGCCTCGGCCACAGGAGCCTGTGTGTGCGGAACGCCCGGGCAGGCGTCTCCACAGACAGGCGCGGTCGGCGGGGGCTGGGGGCTGGGAGGGACTGTGCCTGGGGCCGGGTGTCCATCTGGGGGAAATGAGAATGCTCTGGAACTAGATGGAGCATGGCCACCAACATCGTGGACGTCTGAAATGCCGCGGAGTTGTGTGCTTGAAAAGGCAGACGCACACGTTTGCGTCGTGTGATTGAGCGGATGTTAAAGCCACCCGCGGCGTGGCCGCCTCTGCCCACAGTGTGGATCAGCCTCTACTACGTGGGCTTCTACGTGGTGATGACCGGACTCTTCGCCCTGTGCATCTACGCGCTGATGCGGACCATCGACCCGTACACGCCGGACTACCAAGACCAGCTGAAGTCGCCAGGTGAGCATCGGGGCCGGCTCTGGGAGCAGATCCACCCTCCCTGCACCTCCTGGTCCCAAAGCCACTTCCCAAGTGCAGCCCAGAGAAGTCAGCTGGGCCTGAGGGCGCCGTGGGGACGCGCACGGCCGAGGGCCTCTGCGTCCCCCCAGCCTGGCTCCTCCCTCTCCTCCCCAGGGCCAGGAGAGCCCCTCGGTTCCTCTGGATGAGGAAGCGGACCCCACGTGATGAAGTCTGGGCTTTAGTTTGAATGATTAGAGCAAGGCTTTTGTCGTAGAGAGATCTTGCCGCCCACCCCCTGGATATGCCGTCTGTGCGCGTGGAGTGTTTCCGGGAGGACATACAAAGACCTGGTCACTGGGGCCTGCCGGGAGGTTGGGCCGAAGGGTCTATGAGGAAGAGCCCTCGGCTGCCCGGCAGTGCAGGGAGGGCCAGGAGAGAGTCCCGGGAGAGAGTCCCCAGAGGGCCGCAGGACGTCAGTCTTCAGCGCGCAAATACAGAATTCCCTTCTTCCTTTTATTTTATTTTATTTGTTATTATTATTTTTAGAGACAGGGTCTCGCTCTGTCGCCCAGGCTGTAGCGCCGTGGTGCAATCACAGTTCACGGCAGCCTCGACCTGGGCTCAAGTGATCCTCCCTGCCTCAGCCTCCCGAGCGGCCTGGACTACAGGTGTGC